TCGTCAGGCAAAGTCTCGTTTGACCGAAAACAGCGCTTTTCATAACACACAACGGTTCGCTACGTGTAGGTCATTTCAATATCCTACAGTTCGGCCAGCCTGACTACAGTCCGTCTCGGACTGCGCGTATACAATTTCTCGCTCTTGCCTTTAGACATATCTTTTCACCTTCTCGTCACTCATACACTCATTGTCAGCCCTTCGCGACGCTTAGTCTAATGTTTTACACAAAATTTTATACATAACTCTTATACAAATTTTCATATTTATTTCGCATCGTTTCGACTTGTCTGAATGTAACTTAATCGCAATTATTCATCACCACCAGAGTTGTCGTCATTATCGTCCGAGTTATCAATTTCGAGAGCGCTCCAAGGCTTTATATTAGCCGCTTCCCATACCCCATAGTACGGCTTTTGGCTAATTTGATAATTCTCCACGTCAGCAATAATATATCGATCATTTCTCAATACCCGTGCAACGCGATACGGACCTTTAAACCTCGGAATAAGCTTCTGAGAAACACCTGGAGCATTCTCGAAATTCCGGATCATAACGTAATCGTCCTCCTTATATTTTCGTGCTTCTTTCCTTCTCTTATCAAAACAATGCTTGTTACGTTCTTGAGACTTTTTGATATTGGCAGCCGCTTTAACTCGCATCGAATCGAAGTCCCGAGCATCAATCGCAACAGAATCATTCACATAATCTTTAATTTCATCCGCAATTTTCCCTCTCTGATTACAACCATACAAAAGTTTAGCGGGCGTCTCGCCAGTAGATTTGTGGACCGAGTTGTTCAGTGCAAATTCAGCGTCTCCTAATACTTTATACCAATATTTACCAGACGCATTATCCGTCAGCTTTCCTAGCATCGGTCTCAAAACTCTATTAACCCGCTCCACCTGACCATTAGCCTTCGGCGAGCCCGTCGCAATCAGTACATGCTTTACATTATTCGTTGCAACAAACTCGCGGAATTCTTCTGAGGTAAAGCTACTACCTCGATCAGAAATTATTACCTTCGGACGACTATAATCTCTAAAATATCGCTCAAGACAATCGATCACTTCTTTCGTCGCGACTGTTTTGGTTGCGTACAACTTTACAAATTTTGTAAATGAGTCAATAACTACTAAAATATGTTTCTTGATCGAGCGCTCTTTTCCTATCGGGCCATAATGGTCGATGTGAACCGTCTGAAATGGAGCATCACCCTTCGGAATACTATGTAAGAATCCTTCCGCTTTTCCAAAACTTGGATTAAACGCGATACACTTCAGACAATCCTGAATGTAAGCTTTAACTCGTTCTTTCATATTCGGAAACCAATATGTATCACGAATTGCCCCACATGTCTTCTCGACGGACAAATGCCCCATCTCATCATGACATTTATGAATCACATGTGCAATCATATTTCGCGGAACATAAAACAATAATTTTCCTCCATCTTTACGATACACTACGCCATTTCGCATCTCATACTGTCGATGTTCTGATTTCTCCAATTGGCCCTTTAATTCTTTTATACTCGAATCACGCCCCTGACTCAAAGAAAGATTCGTCTCGAACGGATTATCCTCGATAACGAGAATTTCCGCCGCGCGACTCAGGGCATCAACATGTCTCATTTTATCGCCCGTGCGATGTTCAACTATGTAATCATAACTCTGAAGTTCCAACGCCCATCTAGCGATCCTTGGATTAATTTCCTTTTTCTCTAAAGTCATTTTTAAAGAATTACAATCAGTGACGATCCTGAATTTAATTCCTTGCAAGTATATCCGGAATCTGCGTAACGCGTAAATAATCGACAAGGTCTCGAGCTCGAAACTGTGATATTTACTTTCCGTAGCCGTGGTGCGTTTCGAGAAGTAGAATACCGGGTGGAGCTTACGATCAGCTTTTTTTGCATAAGTACCGCGCCGAAACCTACAGAGCTCGCATCACAATGTAACTCGGTTTCGTCACGCGGGCTATAAATCGACAAAATCGGCGAAGCTATTAATTTTTGTTTTAAGATCTCAAATACCTGTAATTCTTTCTCTCCGAATCTAAATTCCGCGTTCTTTCGCGTTAAGTCTGTCAACGGCTTTGCAAGGGTAGAGAATCCCTCAATAAATTTGCGAAAGTACGAGCACATTCCTAAAAACCGCTTAACACCACGCAAGTCACGAGGAATCGGAAATCGAACAATTGCTGCTATGCCATTTTCTGTTGGCCGTACCCCTTCTCGAGAGATCTTATAGCCCAAGTACTCAATTTCGGTAAATAGGAATTTACATTTATCTATACGGAGTTGGATTTTATTCGCTACTAATGTAATTAATATATTTTTCAAAACCCGTAAATGTTGCTCAATTGTTTCAGTCGCAATCAAGAAATCATCCAAATACGCCACGACATCACCCTTATCAATGAATTCTTTCAGTACTTGATTGACCCACCTTTGAAATGCGGATGGAGCTCCTTTTAGCCCGAAAGGCATTTTCACATATTCATACTGTCCCAATGGAGTGACGAAAGCCGTATACCTCGTCGAATCCTCGGCGACAAATATGTGATGGAATCCATCTTTTAAGTCGAGGACAGTAAAGTATTTTTTCTCGTTTAAAATATCGAGCTGGTCTTCGATTAGCAGTAGCGGGTAATTATCGCGGGCGGTTATCTTATTCAAAGCTCGATAATCTATACACATGCGCGTTTCTCCGTTTTTCTTATTTACCAGGACGATAGGCGATGCATACTCGGATTGGCTCGATTTGATAATTCCTTTTTCTAATAACCTATTAATTATTTCACGTACTTTATCTTTCTCCGCGTACGACAATCTTCGCGGCCGGAAATGAAATGGTTGATTACTCGTCAACGTCAATTTAATCTCGCCTTTTTCTCTCGGTTCTATTGGGCACTCAGATTCCAAATATTCCTTGCAAAACATTTCTCTTACGCGTTCTTGTGTTTCAAACGGAACATCCGGATTAATCGTCAACAAGGCCGACTCGCTTTCCCCCGAAACAATGTCGATGCTCATAACATCCGCGGCCTCGACTAAACACGTTTTCGAAGATTCGTTTACCTCTCCTAATCCCAAACCAAGTTTTCTTAACACATCTCTGCCCAAAACGACCGACGATGACATGGTATAATCGGGCACAACTATCAACTGAATATTTTTCAAAATCTTTCCATCCATTTTCATATCGACACTAACAGCGCCAAGTACAATTAAACTACTCCGATTTATACCATGAAACCGACGCTGTTCATCCACTGGCTCGATCGCTTGACTCGAAACATTTTGCAATTTAATAAAGCTCACTGGACTTCCGGTGTCCAGTAAAGTATCGAGTTCTACCGTTTCGCAATTATTTTTGTTACAAATTATCTCGTAGGTAACACGTCTAAGATACTCATCGTCTCGGGTCAGAGCGGCGTCAACATGATTGACCTCGCTTTCCTTATTTGGACACTCTCTGGACATGTGGCCCGGCTTGCCGCACGAATAGCACTTCCCCTTCTTCGCCAATTCCGGACAGTGAAATTTCATGTGGTCTTCTTTCTTGCAGTAATGGCAGGCCCCAGTTTGCGATCCGGATGCAGTTCCATTAGAAGTTCCTGGTACTGAAATTCGTCGACGAATCTGCCCTGTATTCTGCTTACCAGTCTCCTGTTTATTCTGTCCACTCGAGCCCGGGCGACTCTTCGTCTCATCCTTTTCCTGATGTAAGGATTCCTTCATGAACGCCTTCAGCAATAACTCCTTGGTAGCAAAACCTTGGAATCGGGCTTGAGTCCGAAGCCTTGGGTCTGGAATTCCCTCTATCAAGCAGTCGATTAGTTCTTCCTCGGCTACCTGGATACGATTGGCCAAAATGACTTTCTCGTTGTAGTATTCACTGAACGGTTCCGTCGTTTTCCACCGACGGTTTTCAAATTGTCGGCGTAAAGTCCGCATGGTCGGGCGATGATCATACATATCCTTCATTTTAGATAATAACTCCTCGAAGGTCTTCCCCAAATGCTCTGGGTTAGAATGGAACCACTCCGACGCGCTACCTCTCAATCTCGAGCCGAGTAATATCCTCGCCGAATCATCGTCCAACTGATATGTATCCTTCAAAAGACGCGCTTGTTGTTCCCATTGCCAGTATCCGTCATGAGCTCCACTAAATTCTTTTAGCAATTCTGAAAGCATTCGAATATTCGCACGCGAGTGACCGTTCGGCTGATGGTCATCGTTATTCCGTGCCCGAGCCATTGCCAACTCTCTTCGAGCAATCTCTAACTCTCGCCTTAACACTTCATGCTCTCGATTCAAAAGATCCACTTCACGTTGTAAGTCCTCAGCATTTCTCTCGTTCAGTAGCAACATTGATTGGTCCTCGTCATTTCCCCTCCATTCCCCCGATGGATCAGCTTCATTTAAGCGAGCGATCAATTCGGCTTTGGTACCGCTAACCGATAGCTGGAGGGCCTGCAGCTTCGTCTTCAGCTCCGCAACCGTAAATGTCGTTGCCTCTCTTAGCGACATATCTAGTCCAACTCAATTACTTACACTCCCGCAACAATAGCTTCCACCGTAAAAGATTTTATTCGAATTCCTACGTTCACCGTCCCCTCTAGCAAATCCCGCGATCGCTGAGTCACTCAAACAGCTTCCCCTTCCCGGAATGTTTTGGATCGCGATCCAGCTACACGAACCGAAGGAGCCGCCAATGACAAGTTCAAATTCTAACCGATTCAGGCAAGTCCGCGAATATCAGAAACGAACGCTTCCGTATCCGATAATTCGCCACAAAACCGCTCTGTTGCAACCAGTGATTGCAGAGAACGTCTTCCTTCAAAAACCCGGCATCACCAAGCACCAGTGTCCGCACCGCCAAATCGCGACACTCCGAAATCTCACAGGCGGTACTACGTTTCGAACGAATCCCACTTCTGAGATTTTGTGGGATGCCTTGCGGGATATATTTTATGATCAGGATACCGAACTATCCGATACACACACCAGGACTCGATTACGGGATCGCCCGGGAACGTTGTCAGGAACAGCAAGACCAATTCTCCGTAAACTTATTTTATTACTTGTCACCTCGATTGCTGACTCCGGACTGACTGCCACACACGGCACACGCCTCACTCTCTCTCTCTCTCTCTCTCTCTCTCTCT